GAAAAGCCCCCAAGGCGGCGGGACTGCGCTGCCCGTGTGGCTTTGTTCCTTTGCCCCGGAGGAAAGCCCCAGAGGCGGGGGACCCCGCCGCCTCTGCGGCTTTGCTCGGGTCTCCCTGCTATGCTGGGGAGTCCCCCCCAGCACACCAGGGAGACCCGGAGCAGCTTTTCTCACCCCGGAGGACGCGGTGGCGGGGCCGCTGCGCTCTGGGCGGTCCCGCTGCCCGCGAGCTCCGGGGCGAGAAAAGCCCCGTTCGTAAGTGCGGATCCGACATAAGTCGGATCCGCGTAAGTCGGGGACTGCCTGTAATACGATTCCAGGAATGTTGAGCCTAAAATGTTTATTGAGTCCCTGTGAAGTTATAGAAGCAACTACAGGCATAGTTGAGATTTCCCTTTGTTCAGAATATAGACAACGCCAATCATTACTGGGTTTTGGAGTCTCTTATCTTATTTTTAAATTCTTAGCCATTTTGCCTTTATGAATTACATCTGTGCAGTGTACATTGCAGTAAGATATGTTTCTATGCCATGTTGAATGTCCTATGCCATTTTTGTTTGCGATGTTTTTGTAGCCATGTTGGTCCTGGATATTAGAGAAACAAAGTGGGTGAGGTAATAACTTTTATCGGATCAACTTCCATTAGTAAGAAAGACAAGCTTTGGAGCTTACACAGAACTCTTTTCAGGTCTGAGAAACTCCAGGTGTCATTGCTAAATATATGATTGAATAGATCACTTGGCATAAGTAGTTTTGACATATATTTCAAGGGACCATTCAAGGTGAAGTGGTCTATTAACATCTCTCCAGTCAGAGGGAGGAAAGGAAGTGGAAGGAGGGTTTCAGATTATTATAATAAGATATGTGCCTCTATTCAGTTCATGATATTTAGTGTCTAGCAAAGTTATGAATGTAAGCTTCCAAACTCATCTTTTGAAAGTGTTGTGTAAATTTCCTTTGAGACTGAGGACTACTGGCAGCATGTATTGTAGGCAGGGGGAGGCTGTGTCTCCCCAAACAGCCAAATGTGGCCCCACCCACACTGCACTCCCAGGCCGGGTTCCCTTGTGCCAGTGCTCTGCCCTGGCTGGGGATGACAGGCCTGTCTCACACAGAAACTCAGGGCAGCTAGTGTTGGGGCCACCCTCTACAGGTGGTGCTCAGACCATGCTGCCCCATCCAGCAGCCCTATGCTATCCAGCAGCCCAGAGTACTGGGGCCTTGCCTCCTGGCTGTCCAGTGCTGGGGCTGGGAACTGGGGGGGGGAGGGGTGTTCTGATAAGCTTCATGAAGAATAGGAATGCTTATGAATATGACATAACTGAAAATGCTTTATGCAAAATGCCTTGTGTAAGGTATCATGTATTGGAAGGTATCATTGGAAAGCTTGTAATATACTGAAATATGGAGCATAAACTGGTGTTATCAAAGTAGTCATGCTAGGTGAGGGCCATTAATGCTACTTCAGGATCGTGATGGCCATTGTTCCGGCAAAGCTGCGTGCCTGCGCGGCCGCACACAAACTTCTCTTCTCCTGCCCACCTCATTTACAGAGCCATGCAGCAGCACTCACCTTCCTGCTGGAAAGTGAGTGGCATGGCAGGCAGCTGCTCCGGCTTGTGGGACCAGCTGAGGCAGCATGGTGGAGGGGCCACTTCAGTGGCTGGCTGGGGCCAGCTCCAGCGGGATGCTGGGACATGCAACATGGCAGTGGGGGCAGGTACAGGAGACTGGGGGCCTGCCTGAGGGGCTGGCCAGGGGCTTGCTCAAGGGGCCAGCTGGGAGCCTGCTCAGGAGGCCGTGGCCATGCAGTCGAGGGGCTGCTCCAATGGCTGGGGCTCTTCCCAGCTCCAACTAGGAATGTTAAATTTCAATTAATCAGCTAATTGAGTAGTCAGTGGAATTTCCTGGGTGATTGGGAAAAGGCACAGCAGTGCCCATCTTTAAAAAAGGAAAGTACGAGAATCTGGAGAACTACAGACGGGCAGTCAGCCTCACCTCAGTCCCTGAAAAAATCATGGCAAAGGTACTCAAGGAATCCATTTTGAAACATTGGAAGAAAGGAAAGTGATCAGGAACAGTCAACGTGGATTCACCAAGGGCAAGTGATGCCCGACCAACCTAATTGCCTTCTGTGATGAGACTCTGTGAATATGGGGAAAGCTGTGAATGTGATATACCTTAACTCCAGCAAAGCTTTTGATATGAGGTCCCATAGTATTCTTACAAGCAAATTAAAGAAGTGAGCTTTGGATGAATGGACTGTAAGATGGACAGAAAGCTGACTAAATCATTGGCCTCAATGGGGAGTAGTAATTAACAGCTCAATGTCTAGTTGGCAGCCGGTATTAGGTGGAGTACCTAATCCTGGGTCTGATTTTGTTCAAAGTCTTCATTAATGACCTGGATGAAGGGATGGATTGCACCCTCAGCAAGTTTGCAGATGACATTAAGCTAGGGGGAGAGGTAGATACGTTGGAGCATAAGGAATAGGATTTTAAAGGATATAAGAGCGTAAGAATGACCTAGACAAATTGGAGCATTGGGCCAAAATAAATCTGATGAGGTTCAACAAGGACACGTATAGAGCCCCCGAGAGGGGTGGTGAGTGACCTGCGTCTAAACTCGCCATTCGAGTGAGGCCGGTGTGACCTCACCTTAGGATCCTGGGGCCGGAGCTTGGGAGTGGGGGAGGGCCCGAGTTCCCCCACCCCACATGAACCAAACACTGTAAAGACGGTGAAGATCATCCCCTAGGAGGGATTTTCGTCTTACGAGACTCTTGTGAGTGACGGGGAGGGGATGAAAGATGCCCCAAAGCGGGTTCAGACTATTCCCCACCCCCTGATTCACCGTAAGGCTATCCTACTTCAGGCTTGCCCTTTTATAGAAGCATGCCTATCCCCTAGGACTTACAAGCCCAGATAAAAACCGGGGATCAGGGCCTCCGTGCTGTTTATGTGGGTGCCCCGATCCCACATAACCTGGGGGTGGGGGAGGGCACGTGACACCAACATTCTGCATGATATTGATAGGAAGAACTTTATATTACTTTTGGAATTCACAGAGGGGCTGCGTAGGGTAGACTGTCACTTTAGGGCTTGAGAAATCAGCACTGAATGGTGAGCTCACATCACATCATCTTACAGGTGTGGAATAAAGAGCAGTGGCTACAAAACTTCTGGATGTGGAAAGCTACCTTCCTGGAACAGTATGTGAAGCTGTCCCCACACTTGCGACCGACACAAGGACACCAGAATGAGAGCTGGTAGAGAAACATGTGACAATTGCTGCCTGGAAGCTGACAACTCCAGAGTGCTACTGGTTGGTTCCAAAATGTTTTGGAGTGGGGAAGTCAATCATGGGGGCTGCGTTAATGCAAATGTGCAGTGCACTAAATCATATCCTGCTACGAAGGACCATAACTCTGGGAAATGTGCATGAATTAGTGTATGGCTTTGCAGAAATGGGTTTCCGTAACACTGGAAAAGTGATAGAAGGAACTCATATTTCAATGTTAGCAACAGACCACTTTGCAACAGAGTACATCAATGGTAAGGGGTATGTCTCCATGATGATGCATGTGCATGTGGATCACCAAGGGCATTTCACTGATCACGCAGGGTTCATGACGCATACATCTTCAGGGACAGGCCAAGTAGGTGCTGGATGACAATTGAATGTACCTTTGGCAGACTAAAGGCATGCTGATGTTATCTTTGTGGCAAGTTACCTTAATGAGGATAATATTCCCATGGTCACAGCCTTGTGCTGTACTTTGAATAATCCCCGTGTGAAGCTTAGAGTGAACTGTTTGCTCAGGAGTAGAGAGCACTTTGCTGCTAAGTTTAAACAGCCAGATACCAGGGGGTATGTCTACACTACCCTCCTAGTTCGAAGTAGGAGGGTAATGTAGGCATACCGCACTTGCAAATGAAGCCCGGGAGTTGAATTTCCCGGGCTTCATTTGCATAAGCGGGGAGCCGCCATTT